AACTTGAGGGTCGTCTAGGGGACGCCTCTCTTCAGGAGTCGGTACAGACTTGGATGCCATCTCAGAAGTACTCTCCCCACAGACGGCGCCAAATGTTTCGGGGTTTCTGATGTCCTGCGGGAGAGTTACAATTCCGAGACTGGAACCGGACGCCTGTACCTGCAAAATAACGGAGACTCCTGGTGGTGGGAGCTCCGCCTCCAACGGTCAAGTTAGTACTTGATTAAGGAGTAATTAATGCGGAAATTAAAGTGATTGGGTCTCTCTAGGTGAGAGTGTTTTATGTAGGTAATCTGCTTTGTTAGCGAGATCAGCCGGTTATTACTGTGTGTAATTAATGTGTTTTTTCGTAATCCCCCTTAATGAGGATTAAGGGAGGTATTTATAACCTTGGGAAACGTGCCCATCCTAGGTTTAGGTTAACCTAGGGCTGATTGGGCTTCCCTCGGAAGTTGGGCCTGGGTGGCCGGTTTCTCCATTAGGCATGGAGTATGCCACATGTCATGACATAATAGGTCCAAGGTGGACGAATAAGCGCGTGCCACGTGGCAAGCCCTGACAGTTCCAACTGGGGGACACTTGGCAGGACCTGATTGGCCCATGTGGCGCATTCCGATTGGTGGGAGCAAAATCCCCTAATCAGGAGTAGCACATATTAGAGATGTGTATGTTGAGATAGATGTGAGGGGACATCTTAAAGGATCATGGTTAGCGTGTACAAGATATTGTTCTTGTTTAATTTGTTAGCATTATCCCTATACTTTGGGCATGATACACCCGAATTTTCGGTTTTAAACACTCAAGATAAAAGAGGGGGCCTTTGAAAACAAAGGTAGTTTATCTAATGGCAATCTTATAAATAAAGGGCCAAAAATTTGCACTATTCATGGTAGAACCGCTAACACCATTAGCGGTTTTACCAAAAAATTTGCAATGATCATGGTAGAACTACTACTAGTATTAAAGATTCTACCATGAACAGTGCGCGTTTTTTGCTATTTGTTTACAAGTTTGTCATCTTGATAAATGTGGGTTGTTTATTAAGATGATAAACTTGTATTTTGTCGTGTTAAACAGTATAAATTCTTTTTAACAAGGTTAGATTATTTTACCTAGTCCCTTCAAAAAGTGATGAAAATTTTGATCTTTGTGAGTGACTCAAGAGTGAGACATGAAATGTACTTGCCCATGATTGTTTGCATTAATAAGGGATTTAATCAATAGTACAGCTTTGGATGGGGTTGCCCGGTCCCAAGGCTTTTTAAAGTCGATCAAATAGAATTCAATACCTTCCACTTTCAAGGCATAATATCATGTTCAACCCCCATTTACTTGATCAAACCAGATCCTAACTAACACAAACCCCATAATTCAGTTCAAATTAAATCAAGTTTTAAGTCATAAAATTGTACTTAAATCCTAACATCCCAATATTCCAAAATCAATCAAATTTCTAGCAAGCTCAAAGAATTATACAACAAACTAAACTAAATCAAAATTCAAGCAAAACCCAGAAAAATTAAGATCAAAATTAATTAATTTCCCATACATGCAGAATTATAACCATTAAATTACTGGCAAGGATAAAAAAAAAGTACCTGGCAAATTTGGCCTCTGAAAAGAAAACGTTGGAGGGAATAATTGATAGATTTGGTAGCCCGAGTAAGAGAATTAGGGTCCGAATCCAACAGCCAAACGTCGAAGCCGTTGAAGGCGGCGAGTTGGGCGATTCCGGCACCCATTTGGCCGGCTCCCACTACTCCGATTGTCTTTACTTTGTTCATTTCTGCACAATTTCTGTTCATTTAAGATATTTGGAGTATAAGTTAAGTTTTTAGCGATCTCAATATGAAAATTGAACTACAGACTTTCTAAGATATCATCGAGACATCGATTCCATATGTGTTCATTGTGATTAACTGATTATGGTACTCTATAGTAAATACTTGTAATTTGTAAATACGTTTGTAAACAAGTAAACAACAAATGAAAGTAGGGGTGAATATGGGGCGGGTAGTCGGGTACCAGTCCGAGTAACCGTTAACCAATATCACTAACGGGGCGTTTGATTGGAGGGATAGGAATAGGAGGGATAAGGAGGAGGATAAAGATAGGAAATTGATAGGTAGGACAATGATAAATAATTTTTATTTCATGTTTGGTAAGTATGAGAAATAAATTAGGGATAAGTAGTAAAATTATAAAAATACTCTTACTAACTTCTACCCTTTCTCTTATCCTTTCAATTTCATTAAGGGTAATTTGGTATTTTTAGCCTATTTCTTATCCCTTCCCCTTATACCACTCCCCTTAGTTATAGAAATAGAGGGATAAGAGGGTGTTTTAAATTTTTAATCTCTATCCTCTACCTCCTTTTAATCCCCATCCCTCTAAACAAACATTACTTTTCTTCTATCCTCATCCTTTATCCTTATCCCTCCCTTTTATCCCCCTAAACAAACACCCCCTAAAAGTAATAGTATTAGGTATTACTGGAGTACTATGCTCATAGTACTCCAATATATTAAAGAATAACATATTTTTAAAACAAAACAACATAAAAATTTGTGAGTATATAAATGAATATAAACCTAAATAAATAAAATTTCAATTTCATTTTTCTCTCCACTTTCTCTCTCCCCACCTTTTCTCTCTGTAATTTCCCAATCCACTATTTTAGCATCATCAAATCTTTCATTCTTCCCAACAAAAACCACAAAATTTCTTTTGATTATTATTTTAACCACTCAAACAAGCACAAAATTGCTCAATCAAAGCTGAAAATCAATTTCACTACATAAAAAAATGGTTTATATTCATGAAAAATATAAAGAAACGACAATCATGAATAAGAATGAGCAAAACAAAGTAAGTAAATTTAATTTCTTTTGTTTTTAGTTTAATTAATTGAAAATGACATGCTAATTTGAACTTTGATTTGATTCAATCGAATTTATGTTCTTTTTGAATTTGCCAAAACGTTGTGTTATTTTATGAGAACTTTATGTTATTTTACTAATTAAACACCATGTAATTCTGCTAAAACATTATGTTATTTTACGCAAATTTTGTGTTGTAGGGGACTAAACTTTCATGAAATGTAAAAGTAGGGGACTGGAGTTTGGGAAGTTAAAATTAGGGGACTAAAACCGGTTGTGCAAGTTATCACCAGTTTGTTAACTTGTAATAGGGAGTTTCCAAAAATAAAAAAAGTTAAAAAAAATAAGAATTTAATGCTTCTGATAATTGCAGTATGCGTGATGAATATCAGCCGTAGGAGAAAGGCGGGAAACGAAGGGATTCTTGAAGCTTCTGTAGGAAGTGAAAGGGACCTTTTTTTTCCTATAAAAGTAGTACTATCATCTTCTTTAATGCCCACACTACCATTTTCAGAAAGCTCCAACTAAAAAAAAAATCCTTTATTCTCTGCTTGTGTCCATGTACTGGCCTACTGGTCCCAGCTTTGAGGAAACAGTTGGGAGAAAAGTCGCACGACTCGGTTCCATTGAAGGTATATTCCCTGCTTTTTTGGTTTTTAGTGATCCTTTACACATGTTTGTTGTTGTTTTTTGTTTATAAATAAGCCTTGAGAAAGTCGTTTTTTTGTATTATTTGCTGTTGTTTATATATAAACAAGTATTTTCGGCATGCTTTTCAAGTAAAACATGTGAATCTGTTGGTTGAAGTTAGAAAGTTCTTTAAAAATTATTGTTAATGTTAATGATGGTTTATGTGAGGATTTGTTAGTTGACTTTGGCCATGGAAATGTATATTTTATTTTGTATGTTTTTAGTTTAATTTTTTTGTGATTAAGTAGTAAACATGTTGTTAGGGTTTTCGTATTTTTGGAATTTTTGTGAGTGTGTGCTTGAGACCTTAGTCAGTAGTGTCTTACACTCCCGTACTTATGGCCTAGGTATGGATGCGCTTGAAGATGCACACCCCCTGTTTAGCTCGTAGGACTTGCTGGTGACCCATGTGTTTCCGAAGCTGGACTGGGAAGGGAGGGATGTCGTTGAGTTGACCTGCAAGAAATGGAGGATGTGGTGGAGGCTCAGGCACTTGGTGTTCACCTACCCCTTCAACGACCCCAGGGTTGCCATCCTAGAGTGGGTCCTGAAGGATGTCCTCTACAACAATGGGAGGGACCTTCGTGCTTGGCTGGAGAAGGACATGATTGTGTACTTCGACGGCTTCCCATTGCTGTTCAAGGAGGAGGAAGCCTAGGGGCCATGGGTCTAGTTGTTGGTTTTTGGGTTGGGTAGCTGCTTGGTTTAAGCTAGTTTATGTTTATTATGTAAAAATTGGGGGTAGTTGTAGTCCTACCTTTGTCATGGCAAGATGTAGGGACTTGTGACAAGCAATGGTATTTCTTTTTATGCTTGTCACTGCCATGACAATGGTTTAGTAGTTTAAGTTGGTGTCTCTAAATCTTTTGAACTAATTCTGATGATGATGGTTGTAATTACACTACTGCAAAATTAACCTTCAGTAACACCCAAAAAGTGTTACATAAAGTGGTAAAAGTGTTATTAAAGACAATAGGTAACATTTTATTGGGTGATACTTCCGCCCATGTTCCCTAAGGTCTTATGTAACACTTTGGGTAACGTATGGTAACACTTTCAAAAGTGCTACTATAAAATCTCATATGTAACACTTTTTTATAATATTAGTATCATTTTTAAAGTGTTACTATTTATTTCTTAGGTAACACTTATCTTTAGTAACATTTTTTAATCATATAGTAACACGTACTTTATCCGACATTATGTATCACTTTTTCAAACTAATGTAGCACCTTTTTTATTAATTATTAGGTAACACTTTTCAATCAGCTTTTAACATATAGTAGCACTTTATTTGACATTATGTATCACTTTTTGCAAACTAATGTAACACTGTATTAATTAATAGGTAAGATCTATTATTATTATGAAAAATATGCAATTTTTATTATTTTAAATATAAAAATTATATTAACATATACAACAATCACATATGTGAAATCAACAAATATGATAGATAATAATTTGAATTGATATAATATCATGGTTCCATACAAAGAAACTATAGTATACCTAAAATAACTTGTAACTTTACACTGGCAATAAAAAAATTAAAAAAGAAAAAGGAATCACATCAACGAGTAGTAGATCCAGCAGAGCCAAACTAGCAACAACAACAGATTCTCTAGCAAGGCAAAATGTATGAGCAGCAGCAACCCAATAGAGCAGAATGTGAAGTAGCATGGACAGCACTATCGGCAATAGGAGGGCGGTAACATAACCCGTAGGAAGCCTGATAAAAACCTCAAGTGACTGAGTAGACCCTAGTTAGAGGGATATATGATGTGTAAATTTGTTTCCCTGCATCTCATCAGTCATCATAGTAGAATTGAGTGAGTAGAAAACCCTGGAACCATTTTATAACTATTTCAAAACGGCCTAAAAAGGAAGTAAATCAATTACTAAATAACTCCATATATACCACTTCTTTCTAGGGTTTGCTTGTGCATATCGAAGTTGTCGAGCATCCACCATTAATATTGCAACAAAATAAAATAACCTCTGTTGTTAAGAATAGAAACACAACCCTGTTATAAAGGCCATTTTCAGAGCACCAGAATAAAAAAAACACATTCAAATTTGACTAGTAGATTGCAGCTCAGCTATGTCAAGTTGCCTATTCTAATTTCTAAGGAGTGCAAGGCAAATGGATAAAAAAAAAAGCTAAAATTGACATACTCCGTATTAAAGATCTCAGATTCCATGAATAATTGATACCTGAAATCAATCACAGTTTGCAAGAGAGTGACACTTCACTATAAAATCTGATACACAACATCCATACTCCAACAAACAGAATCAGAGTTACTTAAGCAAGTCAAGTAACTATATAAGCAATCGCATACCTAATAGTGTAATTTGAACTATTGGATCATACATTGATAGTGTCATTTGAGCTAGAACTAGTATTCAACTATTTGTGTGTTGCTTTTGAAAAAAGTTACAACTACTTCACCTACTTAAGATTTCAGTGCGATCAGTGTTTGCGGATCGCTAATGAGAAAAGGGATAGGGAAGGCAAAGTACAAAAGAGCAATAAGGCTCCACCACAATGAAAGCATAATTTTGAGCTGCCAACAAACAGATAATGGAAAGGATAAATGAAATTCAATTTACTACAGAGAATTGGGCACAGAAAAACAACTACTGTAATTAAGATTACCATTCAGCTAACTCAAAGTGATCTTGATCATGTTTAAATTAAGAAAGAAAGTAAATCACTATTTGCTCTACTGGTGATTTATTTTCCTTGCTTCCTTATATTAAAGTACCAAGGTGGTTTGTGCGACGGTGGGGCGAATCATACTGCCTAATATATACCTCCAGATCAAGTCTTGCCAAAATCATAACAGCAACCCAAATAATTTCTAATACATGCGACATTTCAAAACAAATACTCAAGACCAAAGATACTGAAGTAAGGTAAAGCAAAGTCCCATAATACCTACCCTCCTCACTTCAATCATATCAATAAAGGAATATAAAAGCCTCCATGTGCAACAAGTATAAACTTACTACATAAGGGAATATCAAACTAAAACAGATGATACCACCTAAGTAAAAAAGTTAGTTGTGATTTTGTTAGATTTCATTATTATACTATTTTTGACTTACTTACACTATCTTATTGACAATAATTTCCGAAAGATTGAGATAACAAATACATGGAAAATTGACAATCAAGCTATCAAACCTGGAAAACTAGAACTTTCAAAAGTAGACCCATATCTTCGGAGACATCTGATAAGATAGATTAGCATGGTCCCTGCGCAAGGATGACACGAACAAATCGAGAAAAAAAAGTAGACCTTCTAAAGTTAACACATCCTACTAAGTTAATCAAATTTAAGATTTCAAAACTAGTTTCAATTCAACACAACAATTTAGCACAAAAAAACCAACTACCCAAGAATCAGTATAGATCAAACAATAAAATTTCACAGTTTAACTCAATAATCTAACACATCAAAACTTTCACACAAACTTAAAATCATCAGAAACTAAAAATTAATCAAATCAAAAAAGTTGTTACCTTTTTGATAAATAAAAAAAATAAAAAAGAGAAGATCCAAAATCAGAACCATCTCTAATTATTATCAATGCCAACAATAGGAGGATGAATGGCTGATGATAAGAAACCACTAAACCATATTTATTCCGTGACTCAATCATCATTCCATTGCCACCATTGCTAAACTGAGTATAATTATAATGATTATTACTATGATTGTGATTGTACTATAATTATGATAATTCGCTCAAACCCATCATAATTCACCATCTTGACTATGTGGAACTCTTAATCATCATCTTTATCCTCCTATTCGAACCCTAACCCAAAATTCGAACCCTAATCCTAACAAATTTATAGCAGCAAGAAATAAAGAATGGCTAATTGCAATTAGCAAAGTAAAAAAAAAAAAACGAAATCCCCAATTCATAGAACTGTTGTTTATTTGTATCGAAAAATCAAAATAATAAGTAAATAAAACCGAAATCCCCAAAATAAAAACAATTCATAAATCAAAACAAATGAATAATCCCAAATCGGGGGAAAAAAAAGCAGAAAACATACAATTGGAGGTGTGTGCTGATGGCGCGGTTTATCAAGAGGGCAACAGAGATGATGGTGCAGCTTTCGAATGGTGGCTGCGCGACGTCGACTTGTGTGAGGTGGTGAAATAATTCTTCACCTTTTCTGTTGTGAAAATTGAAGGAGATGAGAAGTTGTGGTGGGAGGGAGGAGAGAGAAAATTGGTGGTGGGAAGGGAAGTGTTTGTGAGAAATGAGAAGGAGAGAGGAAACTAGTGATGGTGTTGGTGGTTTGAGTCACTTTGAGAGTTAAGGAACAATATGTACTTTGGGTTAGGAAATAATCCAATAATTCAAGTGTGAATTCTCGTGAGATAATTACAAAAAAAAAAATGTGGTTTGAAATTAATTGGGTAGTTAAATATGTTTATATAAAGTAAGTTATTTTAATGATAGGGACCAAGACACAAAATACTAATGGGGAAAAAATATAGGGACACCTTGGGGTAAAAGTAAAGGGACGCATCCATAGAGTGTGTGCGAGTTAAGGGTAGCGTTTCATATTAAATCGGTACCTCTATAATAAGTTAAGAGTATTGGTTTTGGTAAACTATTACCTTTTGAGGCCGGATTTTTCATTTTTCAGTGTTTAGACAAGCTATTAAGGTATAGTGGTTTTTAATTAAGAACCGGTAACTTTTTTAGCTATATTTCTACTTTTTTTACTACTATGTACATAATATCAAAGTGTTACAATAAAGTGTTACTTAATATCAAAGTGTTAAAATATAGTGTTACTTAATATCAAAGTGTTACAGTCAAGTGTTACAATAGTATTACTTATGACCTAGTTAAGTTTCTAGCCTTGAAAGTGATACCATGTGGTGTTACCTTAGGTCAACTTTGTAGTAGTGTTATTAAATATTTTGGTTGTAATGAATGGATTCATGGATTTAGTTCCATGTTATTATGAAATGAAATGAAGTAGTTGGTTCCATCTTATGCACATATGCTTGATTAATTGTTCTCTTATGCACAAATTATTCTCTTATGCACATACACTTAATTAATTAAGTGATTGCTCATACTTTTTATTTGTTTGATGAAACTACTGTTAGTATATTAGTATAGTATGAAATGATCAAATTGATTAATTATAACTCATGTATGAACACAGATAACATGAATCTAAAACCATGTATGATTTTTCATCATGGTGGGGAATGTGTACAAAACATAGGACACCTGGCCTAATCTACAATGGAGGTAAAGTTAGATGTTTGAGGACATTCCTGACAATGTTGATGCAAAGTACTTGAAAGAAGTTATTGATTCTTTGGGGTACAATGATATTGTGAAATTGCATTTCCTTGACCCTAGGAAGGACATCCAGACTGGTATTAGGTATTTGGGGTTTGATAGCAATAGCTGTGATCCTTTCTTGTCACTTTTGCATGAGTTTAGGCTTATTCATGTATACACAGAGCATGAGTTAAGTGATATCAGTATTGCTCACTACAATGACTTAGGGAGGGGTTCTTTAGTTATGTTATTAACTAACATGGAGGGGCTAGGTAGCTTCACATCCATACCTAGAAATATGGAACCTGAAATTGATTATGACACAGAAAGATCAGATAAGGATGATGTTGAGTATGTTGGTGCAAGGAATAAGGTAAATGAGGAAAAAGTACAACAAAAGTCTTATGAAGATGAGTTAGAGATGCTAAAGAGATTAGATGACTCTAAACACCACAAAAAGAACAGATATAACACTGACTCAGATGAAGGGACTGAGAATGAAATGCATACTGACTCTTCAACACATGAAGAATTAGATGAAGATGATTTTGGGTATCTTTTGCCACCTGAGACAGGTCATATGAGGAGACAAACTAGGAAAGACTCTCACAAAAATACACCTTTTTTTGTTGGGAAAAGATTTGAAAGTGCTGCTGCATTTAGGGAAGCAATAATGTGTCACTCAATTGAGTCAGGAAGAAAATTAAGTAGTCAAAGAATGTGACACAAAGGATTGGTTGTCACTGTTCTAATAAGGATAAAGGGTGCCCATGGAAGATTTGGGCATCATGGGATCACAACAACAAATCATTCATGGTTAAAACTCATACAAGTGACCATACCTGTGGTAGAACCTCTAAAAATAAAAGAGTTACAACAGTATGGATTACAAAAACCTTCCAAGATAGGTTTAAGGTCAATCCATATATGAAAATTCATGACATTATTCAGACCATATGGTTAGAGAAAGGTCTAAAAGTGAGCAAGTATAAGGCTTACAAGGCTAGGAAGATTGGTCAGAGCTTGATAGTTGGAGAGTATGAAGAACAGTATGCACTACTTTATAGGTATGTTGCTGGGATCAAGAGAAGTAATAGGAAAAACACCATCAAGTTAAAGCTTAATGGATGTGTATTTGAAAGAATTTACATCTGTTTTGACTCCTTGAAGTAGGGTTTTCTAGCTGGCTGCAGACCCTTATCCTTAGATGGTTGTTTCTTAAAGGGGCCATTTGGAGGTTAATTATTAGTTGTTGTGGGCAGAGATGGGAACAATCAGATGTTCCCAATTGCTTGCACTACTAGAAAAAAGGTCAATTCCGACGAAACGGTTCCGACGGACATGAAAATCCGTCGTAAAACACTTAATTTCCAACGGATTTTTTTTCCGTAGGAAATTTCTGACGGATCTGGAATTTTCGTCGAAAATCCGTCGAAAATTTACGATGGAAATTAAAATTCGTCAGAACTTAAGTGTTTTCCGGCGGATTTTTCGGTCTGAAATTAAATTTTTCGACGAGATAATATGTTTCCTACGGAATTTTGATTTTTTTTTAAAAAAAAAAACAAAAAATCTGAAACCCTAACTTAAACCCGCCCCTTTACCCTTACCTCTTCATTTCTCTCTCCTCCCTCATTACCTGTTCTCCTTCTCTCTCCTTCTCCTCCCCTTTTTTCTTCCTCCTTTCGCCACCCTTTCTTCTTCCTTCCTCTTCTTCCTCCTCTTCTTCGCCCCTTTTCCTTCTCCTTTTCACCCTTCTTTTTCGTTTTTTCTAATTAATTTTTCGGTTTTTCGGCCCTTTTTCTTCTCCCTAATTAATTTTTGGCAAAAACAACCCAAAATTTACACTAATTCGTAAAGCCCTAATTAATTTTTTGAACAAAAGTAAGGTTTTACATGTCAAATTCGACCATGAAAACTCTAGATCTAGAGTTTTCATGGTCGAATTTGACCTTTAAAACCCAAATTCAAGCCATTTTCGTGGTTTTGTTGAGTGAAATTCAAGGTTTGTACTTCTTTTTTTTATTTATTTTTTGTTGAATTGGGGTGGCGGTGGTTTTTTTTATTATTATTTTTTTTAATTTTACGGTTGTTGGGTGTTCGGTGTGGTTGTGGTTGCTTGGTGCCATGGTGGTTTGGTTTTTTTTTGTCAGATCTGGGTTGGTTAGGAGGAAGGGTCGGTTTTAGGTGTGAGGTGGGTTGGGATTTTTTCGGGGTTCTAGGTGTTAAGTTGGGATTTTAACTTTTTTTTTGTTTAATTTTGGGGTTGTGATAGTTTGTTTTGGTGGTGGTGGCGGAAGTGGTGGTTTTAGGTGGGTGGTGGGATGGTTTTCTTAGCTAGTTTGTGTGGGTTAGGGTTAGGTGGGTTGGGGTTTTGATGGTGTGGGTCGTGGAACGGGACAGGTTAGAGGCTGGTGGTGGGGAGTTAGTTAGGGGCTGGTGGTGGGGAGTTATTTGGTGGTTGGTGGTGGTTGATACACCATGCCGTACTGGTGGCGCGACGTATTTTTAATTTTTTAAAAACAGTTTCGACGGAATTTTCATCGGAAATTTCCGACCGAATTGAATTGTGAATTCCGTCAGAAATTTCCGACGGATTTTCCTGATGCTGAAATACCTCTTTCGACCGAAAATTCCGTCGGAAAAGTGTTTCCGACAGAATTTCCGTCGGAAGAAGACAAATTTCCTACAAAAGCTTTTCCAACAACCGGTTACGACGGAATTTCATTAGAAACGGGTTTTCCGACGGATTTTGGGGTGGTTCCGATAGAAATTTTCCGTCGAAAATGACCCTTTTTCTAGTAGTGTTGGCCAGTGGTTGAAGTTGAGAGTACTAAGACCTAGACTTGGTTCCTAGAACTACTTGCTGATGACCTTGGAACCATTGAAGGTGCTAGTTATACAGTGATGTCAGATCAACAAAAGGGACTTCTTACAGCAGTAGCAAATGTGTCGCCATCAGCAGAAACAAAAGTGTGTTCTAGGCATGTGTACTGCAATTTTAGAGGTGTTATGGGAGGGGGGGTAGGTTAGAATTCAGAAAACAGTTTTGTAAAATAGCCAAAAGTTGTACTGAAAATGAATTTTTTGCAAACATTGAAACTCTAAGGGAAATATCTACTGATGCAGCTGATGACTTAATGGGTAGAAATTACAAGAAATGGTGAAGGGCTTTTTATAGTTCAATGTCATGCTGTGACAGTGTGGATAATAACATGAGTGAGGTGTTCAATGCATATATCCTCAACTCTAGACACAAACCAATCATTACAATGCTAGAAGACATCCGGGAAGGTCTCATGGAGAGACTACATAAGAAAAGGGATCAAATTCAAAAAAAGCAGCTACTGTTATGCCTTAGAATTTAGCAGAAATTAGAATGGAATAAAATTTGGGCTAGGGGACAGAATGGTTACTGGGATGGAGGGTGTTGTTATGGAGTTAGACAAAGTGCAACTCAGGAAAGCTTTGTGGTGAATTTAGGCAGCAAAACATGCACTTGCAGGGCTTGGGAGCTTAGTGGAATTCCCTGTAAGCATGTCATTGTAGCAATGTGGAACAAAGGCAATAATCCCGAGCCGTATGTCAATGAATATTTCTCAAAAACTACATATTTAAAGGCTTATCAGTACTTGTTAGAGCCTTTGAATGGCCCTCGGCAGTTGATGTGTATATTTTATATAGTATTTTACCCCCGTCATAATTAGTAGTGTTTTTGGCTCTTTAGAGCCACTTTTATTACTAATTGGTGTTTTCTAGTGTTTTCGTATATTTGGTTGACTTTTGTAGGGATTTGCACTTTTGGAGCATTTTCCCGAGATATTATGGAGCAATTACGAGCATTGAAGAAGCACGACCAATTTTTATAGCCCAGGGCCGGTTAGAGCCATCGAACCGGTGATTAAGGGCTTGGTATATGCGATACCGGGGTATTTAGACCGAGTATTCAAGACCCGAAGAGGAAATCCAAATTGGCCAGAAGAATTGGAGCCCAATCGAAGTCCAAATAGTGGCCCAAGAGTGCCGCCGGGCCAAAGAAGCTGGCGCCCGAAGGCGTGCTCGGCCGGGCGAGGGAAGCAAGGCTGGCGCCCGAACTCGCGCTCGGCCGGGCGCGAGAAACTCCTTGATGAGCAAAAAAAGGCGTGCCCGATTGGGCG